TATATAATGCATTTGAAAATACATATTCTCTTAGAAATAGAATTACAAAATTTATACGCGATGCAATTAGTTGTTCTATTTACACCGAAAACAAATTTCATCATAAAACCGAATGAATGATCGAATTCATATTGCTGGCATGTCAGCGTAAACTGGTTGCTTCCTGAATCACTGTTGGTAACAGGTCAGCGTTGCCGTATTTGTTTCCTTCTTTCTCTGTGTTTCTCCAGCCTCTTTGGGTCATCAAATGGACATTGGTTGTAGTCTGTACTCCATCATACTGGCTAGTACAGGTATGGATCTATTTTTCCCCCGCAAATAAATATAATACGCAATCTAAATATTTGTCTGATTTATTCTTCTCATGAGAAAGAACAATATTTGCAATCTTTTACTTCCTATATCGTCTTTTCGTAACTCAGCATAACTAAGCTAATGTAATCAATTCGTAACCTGATATAAACACCCTATGATAATAAGATTCATGTATGTTTTCTAGCTGCTGGCCGCATTTCTAACTTGAACTATGGCATAACTAGACTTCTTAGATAAATTATCGCATCCCACAATGCATGTGTGCCCTTTCGAGGCTCGCTCTTGATGTATATCTCTCTATTTCCGAGTTTCTAGAATCCTTCCAAACCCCAATCTTCTGGACGATATTTCTAACGTTAAAATGTACTTGTTGAATTTCTCGGAGTCCTTCAGACTTCCCTTTCGGTAGAATTCTATCATCACGTTGAAAACTCGTGTGATGTGTTGAATTTTGAAAACATAAATTATATCAAAGTCAATTTAATTAAAGTAGAATGGGCTAGAGATAGTTATATGTGCATTTTCATTTCATCTCTGAACGTCAAAGGGAATTCGTTCCACGCGACGAAAAATGACCGAGTCATATGCTATGGTACCAGGGTATGACATAAGACTCTTCCCAAAATCAACCGGTTAAAGGGGTAAGCTTGGCAATAATTGATTGTTCAAAAGAACGTTAATCACGGCATGATTAGCTGTCTTGACAATCAAAAATTTTACGGAGAAAATTTAGGGAACAGTCGATTCTGATTGGTTAATAGGTATTTATGGGCGTAACTTTATAAGGAATTAAGTGTTTTGCTTTGGAGAAATTCTTCAGTCTTCAATCTTTCTTGTGATAAGTTAGGAGGTCGACTCCGGGAAACGTGAAAGACGTCTCTCGTGATTGCAATAAGGCGTGAGAGTTGTCTCACAAAGTAGACAAACTCTACATTTGAGGTTCGTTACAAACGAATAAGAAACGGCAAAAGGTACGCAATCTTAGTTTCCCAATTTTAATATGTTATTTCATTTGTCGATTTACTTGCAAAGGTATTGTTGTTATGATTTATGTATGCATGATTTCATTTTCCAGGGTTTTAGTGAAATGTTAGTCACGACATTTTATTCTTTGATTTTCTTATTGTCAATTCATTAATTGAATATTCATTGAGAGAGTTGACACGGTTGCATGATGCAATTGAACATTTGATACATAGGAATGCTTAGGAATTTTTAAGAATTAAACCTAATAAATTATGAGTAATGTTCGTAGTTCTATGAATTAAATCTGTCTATTATTACATATATTGAGTGTATATCCATATACTAGTTCGTAATATTTAATTGATCACGTAAACTATTTTAGAATAATTAGATTTGAGGGTCTAAGCCATATGTAATTTAATACTAGTAGATAGTTTAATTTAAGAAGTCAAGGGGTGTTAAATGCGGGCACATACGTCTTAGCCGTGAAATGCAATTTAATGATCTCCACTAGAATGACCCGAATTAAGGTCAGAACATGCAATGACCGTCTACGTAAACATAGGAATTAGTGAACGTGAGTGCAACAGAATCTATGCATTTTGTTTACTGAGCCGAATTAATGTAAAAATATAGATATACTTGGAAATGTGACCTATTATCTATAGCGATACATTTTATTTATTAAATGAAAAAACTTTCCTAAACGCTTCCTGAGTATTCCCTGAAAATTCCTGTACCAATTCCAAGTACTAGAGCAAATTCTGAGCTTATGTCTAGGTCCAGGGACGATCGTCAAATCAGAGTTCGACTGGCAAGAGTCCGGTTCCAGAGGACTAGATAAAGGTTGGCAGAGAAGGGACGAACGGAAGATTGGATATCCGAACAAGATAGGTGATTATGTCACTCATCGTTGCTGATGATGTTACTCATCGTTGCACTCAAAGGTCACATCTCGAATCGAATCGAATTAATTCAGTCACTGACAAGTAATTGTAACAGTAAAGAAAATTTGTATTGTTTTTTTTTATTTGAGTACATGTTAGTACATTTTTCCTTCTTTTGTAACCAAGAAATTGATTTCTTTTCATTTTAAATTCTGTTGTTAAACTGATTAAATTTTATATTTGTTCATTGAAAGGGGGCTCGTTGTGTTGACTTATTCAATATACTTGTTCAGAGATCTGCATTCTTCTTTCTATCTATCCATACTGGGTAAATTATACCGCGGGAGGTCATTCCCTAACAACGAACTGTATTGGAAGATATGGTGTGTTTTTGAACGCCGCCAACTTATCACAACTCATATCTTTCATATTTTTTTGGACGGCCGAAAGGTGTGATAAACATTTCTCAAGCTATTTGTGTAGTTTTAGCGTTAATATTCGTTAAAGAAATAAGCTCTAGAAATCCTGTTTAGCAATTATTTTTAGCAAGTATTAGTTATTCGAGTCCGTCTTAGGTAAAACCGACACAATCTACCATTATTCATCTAACTGGTTCGTTAAATGTAGGAATAGGTTTCTGTTAACCAAAATACATCTTCTGGTTGGGTTTTCCTTCTATTTGAAACGTATGACAAGATCTACGTTATCTAGAAACATACTTATAACTTTTGGCCAATAAAAATGATTAAAGATCTTGTATTAAGTCTTACTTATCCCTGTATTGCCAGTCAAGGGATTTTCTAAGCCTAAAATAAGAATTTCCCGTCGATATAACTTAGGAACAAAACATTAATTACTCACTGACCACTCGTCAAAAACCTAGTTTTTGTTTTCGCATAAGGACCCAATTACTCACAAAATATCAGTCTAGTGGTTTACTTTCGCTAATAGCCCTCTGAAATAAATAGTAAATCTCAGGATCTTGTTCATATGAGAGAGCTAGTGATTGTCTTTTTCTTGTCATAATTAGAATGGAGAGAATGAGTAGTCACAGTGATTAATGCCTCTTAACTGGTCAATACGAAGAGCAGAAGTGACCTCATCAAAAGAATGACCAATACATGTCTCAAATAAAATAAATTCCTGATTAATATAATTATGAAGAGTTTACTTTGCCATTGCTCAAGTAACCTCACGAGTTAATTGATCTCTTGGCCATTTCAAATATTATACAATTTTTTCAAAATGAGAAAAAGTTTTTTTTCTCTGCCTCTTGAACTTGTCCACAAAGGCTGATTTGATCCCATCAATTTTTTTTAATGTTTTCTCTCTCTCTCTCTCTCTCTCTCTCTCTCTCTCTCTCTCTCTCTCTCTCTCTCTCTCTCTCTCTCTCTCTCTCTCTCTCTCTCTCTCTCTCTCTCTGCAGTTCTTTTTCTTCTTTACGCATTTTCATTTGCAGTTTTCTTTTACATTTTTTGCATTTATATTTTTTATCCTTTATGCAGATGCATTTGCATCACCTCCTTCTGAAACATTTTTAACACTAATTAATTCAATCTGGTTTCAATCTGTAATTTTATTAATTTTCTGTCCAATCCAGAAAGAGTCTTAATAACCAAACCTGATAGAAGCTTATTAATCAAACGCAAATTATTTTTTTCAAGAATGCACATTTCTACCTAATAATGAACCAAAATATTCTTTATCGCTTGCTTTGTTAAAGAAACCTTCGCTTCTTAAAGACCAGAATGTCTCTAAATTCAAGCAATTCGTTCTTTCTGAGGGACTCTAGCCATTCCTTAGTGGGATATAAAACAAAGTTTTTCACTTTAGATAATACAGTTTGATGGTCTGAACAAAGAATTCTCAAATATTTAAAACTGAAATACCAGGGACTAAGAAATTTCTAAATTAAATTTCAAAAGCCATTGTAATTTCTGTGAAATATCTTTTATGAAAATCTATCCCATAATGAGCCCCCAATTTCACAGAATAGAAAGACAATCAACACGTTATGTAAAAATTCATCATATAATTTATTTCCCTACAATATAAAGATAGTAATTAGAAAATAACTAATAGCAAGGTGAATGAAATCCTGAAAGTCATAAAGCTTCTAAAAAGTATCGTGTATTCCAAAATGGGTTACGATGATGTTCCGATTGCGATGATGTACCAATATCCTAGAAATGTTTGATGTATCGTTTGATGTATCACAATGATATAATTCAAAACTTCTTTAACTTAATCAACAGTAAATCCAAAACATACACTTTATTGAAAGTATAGGAAATCCTTACAATTTTAATGCATAACTGAAACAAAACTACCTCTCAGCTCAACATGACTAAATGACCCAACTAAGACTGATCATTCAGATGGAAATAACTAATTGTCTTTTAATTATCACCTTAGAAAAAGAAACTAAGAGGCCGTTTTAGATGCATAAAGAATGCCGGGTAATCAGTTCTAAATCATTGTAACTATCAGCAACGTCGTGTCCTTTAGCAGCTGACCAATCAGAAATGTAAACAGTTTACTTCAATATCTGTATAGGGGCTTTGAATGGCCGAGTGCTCTAAAGCACTAGCCTTTACAGATCAATTACATCTTACCTGTCAGCTTGTGTTTGAGTCCCAGGTTCAGCCAAAGTGAGCATGTGAGATGCTTGCCAGCAGCTTCCAAAGGTCGTTGGTTCTTACCTGGGCTTTCCCGGGTTTCTCCACCAATAATACTGGGTATCGTGTGCTAGAAACTGGAGTTAGAAATACAACATAAAATGATATTACATCTCAGAGACATTGGGACATTGAAGCTGTTTATCTCAATATCGACCGCTCTGGTTGTCTAATGGTTAAAACGTCCTCCTCGGATGCGGGAGGACGTGAGTTCGATCCCCGACCGAGTCATGCCAAAGATTTATAAAAATGGTACTAACAGCTGCCTCGCTTGGCGCTCAGCATTAAGAGGTTAGTATTAGGACTGGTAGGCCTGGTGTCAGGATAATGTGTCTAGGTGGGGCATCATGCTACATGTCTGCGGAATGATGCCCTAGTGTTAAGCATCACTATAAACTGAACTGCCAAATTATAGACATCGTAGTGATATGACTAAAAAATTGTAAAAGCTACGTTTTAAAAATCCAAATCACACAAAAATTACCTCATTATCATATTACTCTCATAAACATTTGGACTGTTAACCTCAATAGCATTACAGTTCTCAGTTTAACAACAGAATTTAAAATGAAAAGAAATCAATTTCTTGGTTACAAAAGAAGGAAAAATGTAGTAACATGTACTCAAATAAAAAAAAAAAACAATACATATTTTCTTTACTGTTTACAATATCATTGCAGCTCTCAAAGACATTTGGAAAGTCTACTTAATTATTACTACAGCTCCAAGAGACATTTGGACTGTTTAATCTAAATCATTACAGCTCTGAGAGATAGTGGAACCGTTTACTTTAATATTATTAGAGCTCTCAGAGACATTGGGACTGTTTTTTGTGCAACTTGTATTGGAACATTGGGGTATTGTATAAGAGTACCTATTTCAGCAATTATTGGAATTATTTATATACTATTATATTGCTAGCTTAGGGAGCAAACCATTGCTATTTTTATTGACAATTTTACTTTAAAATAAAACTAAATTGTATAATCGTTTATTGGCATCTCTAAACTTGAGAGGCAAATTGGTGCATGCAAATATATTTTAAATACATCCATGTGAGTTAAACATGTAATTTTAGTCTAACATGGTGTTATTTGTATCATGAAGTGATATGGCGTGTTTTAAGCAAAGAACTAGGAGATGGGTCAGTAAGACAGCATCTCAGTGACATGATTCAAAATGAAACAATACCGTTATTTAATGTCATTACAAATTATTTATTCAGTGAATATATTATGGACATTGTAGCAAACATTCAAATGGATTTTTGTTTCCCTTAGAAATGCTTAAACAATCGGGCGAAGACATGCGCATGCTTTGTAAATCATGTCGATAATATTTGATATAGTTTATGTATATATTGTGAGTTATACGAATTGTGAATATGATAGCAAAATACCATAGAAACGTGTAAATAGTGTATCTTGTTCCCTTACCAAAATTCTCACCCACTTCCGCTAGAAGATTAATTGTGCTGGGCCTGCTAAACCTACAACTCAATTCCCTAGATCATGTGACACAAGGCTGTGGTCCTCATTCTAAATAGATCCTGTTACACAGTTGGTGGTCCTCATTGTATCCGAGATCCCGTAACACGGGTGTTGGTCCTTATTATACCTCAGATCATGTGACAAGTGACTAGTCCTCATTCTAACACAAATTTGGAAACATTTCAAGAAAATTACATATCCTTGGCACTATTGTTACAAGAGGGACATAACGTTACACTTTTCAAGTTGGAACAATCGGAAAGTACATTGTGTTTCGCTATTTTGTTAGAATGACCTTTACATTAGACAATAATCATTTCATTTGGAAACATAATTTCACCTTTTCAGTAATTACCTTTTTTAGTCTGTTGAGTAGTGTTTACATTCATATGTGTAGTGCTAGCATGTGTGATTCTGTCAGTGTCTTTCATTCAAAGCTGTGATAATTTATAAAGATATGCACGTGCTAAAACATTTTGACATTAGCTTAGAAGTTAAGTAAAATCTTCATACCTTCTTCTTTTTTCCAAGTGTCTGCCATTCGTCAATCCCACCAATATGGTAAGAGTGTCAGTTTCATTCAGCCAGCAGACTATCTGCATGATTCAGACACTTGTCTATAACACATTTATAAATAAAACTAAGTCCTTAGGAACTGAATGTTCAGAGTCAAATCTAAGTTTGTAAATTAATAATTTTTATCCCGATAGTTATGACAGCAGATTTATAAAGATTGTTAATTTGAATTCAGCAAACTCGGCGCGACCTTTCAAATTCAGCTGGTACACAAAATGTCCAGAAGCAGATAACAATATATCTAGATTTCTGACATTAATCGTGTTTGTGTGTCACCGATATTTTAATGAATACAATTATCGTTGTTGACTGTGCAGCAACGATTCAAACGGATATTTTCTCTGTCTGTGATTGATTAAATTTCTCTGAGGCATGTTCGTGAGTAAAATGTTTCAAAACTTTCATTGTTAGCCTTTATCGCACCAGTATCGAAAGGAGTAAATGATTTATACGCAGAAAATGCAAATATTCATTGCAAGGCAGAATATCGCTTTGTTTATATTTTGAGTTTAGGCGAGAAATCAATTATAAAACTTACATACATGAGAGGGGAAACATTTGTTAATTATCACGGTGAAAATCTATTAAAAGGTATATTAATTGCATTGCTTATTTCGTTGATCAAAGAAAATATATTCAAGACAAACTAACACGGGCAGATTGTTTTCTGCAGATATTATTCGTACTTTAGTCAAATTCAGTTTTATCACTAGTGAAGAAACATCAGTTTTTTTTCTCTCGAAAGCTATAATACATAATGTACCTACCATTTCTGGGGATATTTACTAAAAACACTATTACTGACGTCACTAGCTTGCAGTACTTAATCATTTCTTACAACTTTACATATTTGGGTGTACCAGCTTCAACAGGTGATCTGTTTTTATAGCACAGATCCTTACACCAAATTAATATTTGTTGCCACGTTCACAATTGCTGTAAGCGCGTGCAAAAAAACTTATTGTCTGTATTAAAACTGTATGTTTCATGCTTTGAGAAGAATATTCTAGTGAAAAATCTGCCATTTCCAAACAAATAGAAACAAATAGACATTCTGACTAGACAGATTGAAAGCTGATAACTCATCTTAAGATAACACGATGAGTATCTTAAGATTTGTATTATTCCCAGTTTTCGCTGCAGGTAAAAGTATAAGATATCTAGAAAAGAAAAGATATATCTTCCTCAGCGTACCGCTCAGTAGGTGTTAAATTATGATATACTTAGCAGTCTCAAGAGGCAATCAGAATCAAAATGTCGCCCAAAGAAGCAAAACGTGTCATATAATTTATTTATTTATTTATTTATTTATTTATTTATTTATTTATTTATTTATTTATTTATTTATTTTTTCAGCAACTTGGTTCGTTACCTTATGTAATGATTGTCACAACACAACTTTGTAACAAATCCTCATTTCTTCAACTATATTCTACGGATGACGCTCATAGTACCAGTCAGAACGAAACAGTGTTTAAAAAGCATATTCAATATTGTTTTACCTTTCGTTCACCAGACGTTGATTGACACAACAAAATAACATCATCGGTGTTTTTATATATTGCTATATTATTCCGTAATTTTTACGATACTTTTTGATTATTAATTCTTATGTAACATTTTGAAAAATATATTCCCCTACTAAATGAATATATATATATATATATGCTCCTCATACTCTATATATTTTACTATCATTAGGATTCAATGTTCTCTCGTCAAGTCAAATTCTTTTGACATATTTTGAAAAAAGTCTGTTACATTCAATTTTTAGTGGCACCGTTCCGTCTGCCCTGAAAACACTCCCTGAAATCTCGTCCCTCCCGTGATCTGGTGCTAGTGATTGACAGATAACGTCGTCTATTCTATCATCATTATTTATTTAGACCTGAACGTTGACAACACAAGTGTTGTATAATACAAAAAGGGCATCAGTCATTTACAGAATAATGGTTTGCATCGCTCTTTGACTTGAAGAGTCTCCAGTTCAAGTAGATTCATTGAATTAGATCAAGGCTGTCGCGATAAAAGCGCACGAATATAAATGATATAATTTTTGAATGTTGTAATTTGAGAGAATGGATTATTCAAAATTATACCTCATCCATGTACTTTTAGACTTCGAATAATCAATCACGTTTATAATTATCAATAATACATAACCATGGCCCTGTAATAAAATAGCCGACAAGAGAAGACCCTGAATCTTAAAAGTCAAGCTCTAATTACTAAAAGTAGTTTTCACCTTTCCTTTTTCTTCAGGCTACATGTAGACTATGTCTTGTTAACTGTCTTATTAAGGAAATAGTAACATCATCCTGAAAACACCAAAATGGATAATCTTGTCTGATGTTCAAAACACCAAGATGGATAATCTTGCCTGATGTTCAAAACACCAAGATGGATATTATTTCTAAATGTTCAAAACGCCAAGATGGATAATCTTGCTTAATATTCAAACTATCAATGTGAGTAAGATTTTTTGACTTAACATTATATGCATTTATTGTCTGAATATGCTCTTTCAACAACACTAGCAACAACAAAGAAATAATAATAATAATAATAATAATAATAATAATAATAATAATAATTATTATTATTATTATTATTATTATTATTATTATTATTATTATTATTATTATTATTATTATTATTATTATTATTATTATTTAAAATACTTGTGGTAGAATGAGTAGTAACAGTGGTTGACGTTGTAGTAGCAGTTTTAGTAGTTTTAGTAGTGTTAGTCATTAGTAGTAGTATTTGTATTATAGTTGTTTACGCAGTAGTTCTTGCAGCAGCAGTAGCAAAATTATCAATAGAAACAGTAGTCACTCACAGCAGCCCGTGTAAAACTATCGCTATCAGAAATGGTATTATCAGTAATAATAATAGTAGAACCGACATTTCCAGTCTACATGCATTTGTAGAGGTAACGGTAGTAGGCGCGGTAGTAGTAGCACTCGTAGCAAATATAGTAGTAGTAGCAGTTGTAGTAGTTTTAGTAGTAGAAGTAGTAGTAGTAGTAGTAGTAGTAGTAGTAGTAGTAGTAGTAGTAGTAGTAGTAGTAGTAGTAGTAGTAGTTTTAGTAGCAATAGTAGTAGTAAAGTAGAAATAGTAGTCAGCATTATCATCTGCAATATTAACAGCAACTTTAGTGGT